CACAGGAGGCAGCGCGTCAGATCAGTGTGCAACATTGCCCCTGCTCAGCATCCACAAACTCTGACAGTCCAAGTCCTACAGGTGCTCTTCCTTCATGCAAGTTTGTCCTGGCTGCTTCCAAGCCTGAAGCAACTACTCCCATATGCCTACACAGGCTTTATTCCTTTACTTTTACTTAGCGTTTCTTTTATTGCAATTGGAATTCTTGGGCTTTCCAAGCCCACCTCTCTCAGCAGATCTTCAACCTACATGCATCTCATGTTGTGCAGTGTGATTCAAATCTGAATTCTATTTGCCACTGGCACAATTCCCATCATAGTGGGAAGCGGGCTAAGGGTGCAAGGCAGCAGGCAATCTAAACAGATGAAGTGTCTGGCAACTGGCAGAGTGGACAAAAGGTCACAAAGACTCAGGCCAACCAGGCCAAAAGCAAGGGACTTGCCAAGGAAAAAAGCACAGCTGGCCTGCAACTGCCAGGGCTACTTGGACAAGGTCATACAGCTAGTGGCATGAAGAGCCACCCAACATGGTGACTGGGAAGGCTGCTGATCCTCGTTCAAGGTGGCCCCACAGAGGAAAGAGCAGAACGCGGGCCAGAAGGCGCTTCACCCACAGATGACTACCCAGCAAAGAACCATGAGCTATTGCTCAGCACGACACAAGCCTGCTGAGCGCTGTTTACCACTCAGCCTGGTGGCCCTGGTCAACTCTGGTCTGCTGCGCTCATCAATAGGACCCCGGGTCTCAGTGGCTTTCTAAAGATGTGCTGTCATGCTAGTTGGCACCCCGTGCTGCTTCCATACCCCAAACTGCCCCAGCTAGCTTTCACGGGTGCCTCAAACATCTGGTAATTCAACAGTTGCTGCCTGTTCTGAGGCCTCCTCAGAGAGGTTCGGAGGATATAGTGTGTGGGCAGCTGCAATCAATCAAACCTCTGTTTTGGTACCCTGACCCCTCCCTATGAAGGTCTTGCTTCTGTTTGAAGCACTGTTGAAAAATACAATTTGTTTCTCTTTCAAGCTGACCAGCCTGGAGTTAAAAATAAGGCAAGGACTAGGATGCCCAGGGGCATGGCATTCAACGGGTAATCTTACTAATTGTTGCTTTTTCTGTAATCTTTACTCACATACCCGATCCACGTCTAAATGGCCACAGATAGCTCGAGCCTTGTCGAGACAGCCAGTGCTTGGTGGTCACACCAGATCTCAGGTAAACAGTTACAGGCAATGCCAGCAAAAGTGCTGCTGATGGACAACTCCTGTGCCCAGGCTGGGCTCTGCCCTCAGTGGCACACACTGTTGTTGAGCAAAGGGGAGGCTATGGCTTCAATAAAACCCTAGACAGTAGGACATTTCCACCCTAGTTTCAAGGGCAAAAGACATGACGCAAGAATGTTTACACATACGGGCTGAGGATATAGTTTAGCGGCACAAGCGCCTTCCTGGCAAGGGCAAGGTCCTGAGTTCAATTCCCTGTACCAAAAAAAAAGAATGTTTACACACAGCCAGCCTCCTTTGGTACAAGGTGAATCTGGTTTTGTCACCATTTCATAACTCTTAGCTCTCAACATGCAGATCATGGCAGGATCCTTCCCTTTCACAAAAGAAAAAGAATGAGGCAAAAGGGTATCAGACAAGAAGCAGCAAATGGTAAGGACAGAAAGGGATGCCAGGAAAAGGACAAAAGAAAAAAAGGTGTTCTTGTAATAGACTGAATGGTCCCTGCACACGCACCTTTACCTCAGTTCTGCATTGCCTACAGCAAGCTGCACCCTCCTGCAGACCCTGTGACCGTGATGATGGTAAAAAGTATCTGTTAGCATCACCTTATGCCAGGCAGCGCACTGAGTGATGTATGTATACATGTATGTACACACACACGCACACACAGGTACACAAATATACATGTGCACATATGCACACACAAAGCTGAACACAGTATACACCTACTCTTCTTTCTCTTGTTCCTCCCACATTCCTGTGTTGGTGCTGGTAGTGTCTGCTGCACACAGGTATTAAGCAATGTGCCAAGGGCTCCAACCTCCTGCCCCTCTTCTGAAAGTCTCCTGGTGTGTCAGTGACTCTTCCTAAACACACACCCGGAAGTACACATCATGTCCAGAAGGGCCCTGGCGGACCTAGTGACCACCAGAGCCTAAATTTCCTCAGGAGGGGCTGAAAAGGCTAAGTCCTGAGGTCACACCTGCTTCTACCACAAAGTCTAGGCCCAAGTCACTTATTCCTGCTAAAATCAGGTGTGATGCAGGCAAAGACAGGGCCAGGACCTCAGAGATCTCTGCCCTCCTCTGCTGTCTGATTCCCTTGGGCCTTCTTCTCCTAGAGGGTTGGTGGGACTCTGGCTCCCACTGTCCCGCTAGCCGTGGACTAAGAGCAGAAGAAAGACCCTGCACACTCATTCACTATTGATGTCTGCTTCTGGGACCAATGTCTGCTCCCTATCAGCTTCTCTGGGGAGCTGAGGTATTTTAATCTGACTACCCAGCTATTCCAAAGGCCTAACTAAACAGGCATTTTGCACCTTTAATCTGAAGTGTTCACACCTGGTCCCTGAAGACATGTGCAAAAGGGCTTCACAAGAATGCTCAAGTGGAGCAAATGTATAAACCAAGATCAAAGGCCCATCAAACAGTACACAGTCAGCTTAAGGACTTACGGGCTGGTGCCAACCCCAGGGACAAGCCTTCCACAGATATGCACAGACAACTACAAGCTTCTCTCCCACAGAAAGGAGGATCCTGCACACTTCCTGGTAGTTACAAATGTTGAGTACGGAGTACATGAAGGACAGTGTTTGTGGACAGAAGGCCTAAGCCCAGCCTCCCCTCCCCCAAGCAATGTACACCAGCAACATGCCCCCTTGCTTGGTACCCTGGCCCAAGGGTCTACACTAGGGTCCAGGCTGAGTAAGGATTACCCTAGGCCTGGTTTCCTAGGCCCCCTAGAAAGCAAGACCCACATCCTAAAGCCTTAGATCATCCAGTGGGAAATCGAAGCAGGCAGAGCCACAGAGCCCCAAAGAGAGGGCCGGCCACAGTTGGATGCTTGGTGGGAGACGGCTCAGGGGCCATGGCTCTATCAAGGCTCTGGCCACAGGCCATTGGGTACACACACTCTCCTTCCCAGGGGCCCCGCACTACTTTCCGTATGTTCTATCCTACTACAGGACTAGCTGCTGAGCAGGTGGCTAAAGACAGATAGGCTGAAATAACGCAACCTCCTCCGGCTCCAGCACACTACCCCAAATCTTGGAGGCCTGCCTGGAGCTGATGAAGCAACCTACACATCTGGGCATGGCCCCATCCAATGATATATTTTTAAACAGTTTCTACCCAAGTAAGGCTGGAAAATGTCTCCAGCGATGCCAGTGGTGTTATTCCAACCTGTGGCTAGTAAAATATAACAACGTGTGCAAGTTGTTTTTATTACCTCTCTAGCTTATTAGCTAATAAAATAAGCTCAGCATTAAAAATTTAACTGAGGCTATGTATCACATCCAGAACTCAGGGCTCCTTCAGGAGTCACCCAAAACTGCCGCTTTTCCAGCCTTTTTACTTATATGAAGTCTCTGCAAAAGGAAATGTCCTCTTGATGCTCATTGCCTACGTTCAACCCCTGTCCAGCAAGTCAAGCCAGAAATGTCAACTACACCAGAAGGAGACAAGGACCAGCCTAGTGGAAAGATGAAAGACGGAGAAATTGGACGAGAGGCAGGAGCTCTGGGAACCATGGGCACGGGAAGACACAAGCATGTCAACAACTCACTCCCCCGCTGCCCCAGCTGGGGCCTGGGGTCTTGAGCAAAAGTGGCCAGGAAGTCTGCACTCTGAGGCCAGGTATGCACTGGACTGGATATACCTGAACCTCTTCTTTTGTGGGGTCCTTTAGGACAGAAGGAGAACTAAAGAGGAGAGAAGAAAACTTTATGAACAGACACTGTCTCCACCTGAAACAGAGTGGATACCACAAGCCTGCCTCCCCTAGATCTGGTCCTGGTGCTGCTAGAGCAAGGCTCGCCCCACAGAGACCATCTTTACCAGCAGGGTGTCCGCCTCTGCACACTGAGATGCGACTGATGTTTCCCTTCACAGGACTGGAAAAATGATGATGGTCAAACTCATGACACTGCAACACAGCTATCTAGATGGACACGGAACCAACAGTTCTCCCTTCCACATCCATAAAATCAGTGGTAACAGAAGCAAACATATACTCTGGTCTTAAACCAGGCCCTCTGGCCTTCCTGGTAGGAACTAAATGCAGCCATCCCTCAACCTCAGAGACCATCCTACATCCAAGCTGAGTATGTACAAGCTTCAAGTTCATCTCCATCAGATTGACACTGGCACAAAAGAAGAGGTTCAGGGCCCCAAGACAAAGAGGATGAAGTTCAAGGGACAGAGGTTTGTGGCCAGAGGGTTCTAACTACAGGAACGGCAGGAACAGTTACATAGAGGATGCTGATCACATTTCTTAGCAGTCTAACGTGTTCAACAGTCTAATCAAAGGAATATACCCACACCCCCACTGCCTTGCTCTCCAAAACCATGACCGTGACCCAGATCTTAGGATCAGCATAATCCAAGAGACACTGAATGTGCATGGTGTCTCACAGCAGCTTCAGGGCTGGGTTCTGGAGAGAGCGCTCTAGGGAAGGGCTGGAAAGGGATTACAGTGTTTGGTCACACTGGACCGCCTGCAACGCCTGCCTTTCACCATCTGTCTGTTCTTGTACCACAAACAGTGTGCGTCACAGGGAAAGAGCATGTCTCATTTTAAACAGAGAGAAATAGACACTTCTTTAAAAAACAACTTGAAATAATCTTTCTTTGTATAGGATTTTAAAACAAGGGAATTAACCCACTCCTGCGCATCTCTGTAAACCAGCACTGTACACTTGGCCAGGACAGACCAGGACCAGCAGAGGCTCTCGTAAGCGTCGAAATGCTTCTAAAGCGCCCTCTGCACCACTGGGGCACTTACCTGTGCCATCTTGGCAAGATCTAGGGAAGGCCTCTGCTCCTGCACATCTTCCGGGCGCCGCCGTTTCACACCCACCTTCTTGTCGTTAAGGACACACGGCTGGGAGCGGCTGCGGGAGAGCCCACTGGAACGTCTCACCAGCTCTGGCGTTGAGGCAGGTGTGCTGTTGGCTGAGGGTAGACAGTATTCCGTGAAGGAAAACTGCTCATGTGAGCAGGAGAGGGACCGCTGCAGGTCTAGCCGGCCCCCACCCACAGGGTGTGGGTCAGGGCTCCAAGGGTCACCTCCCTGTCCACAGGGGGGTGAGCCCAGGGCTCCTTGGCTGCTGGGCTGTGCCCCAAAGCGGTGCTGCAGTCCCGCCTGGTGGCAGGGTGAAGATAGCCCATTGGCCCGGGCAGGGAGGCTAAAGCTGGAGCTCCTCTGCATGGTGCTGGTGCCATTGGAGTAGCGCTGGACACTGCCACCACTGTAGCACCGTCTCTTCTCCACAGGAGTCCAGACTTTGGACCCCAAGGGCCGCCATGACGTCCGGCAGCTGGACATCTCATCAGAGAAGGACAGTGACCGGCACTGGCGCTTGCTCGGGGGTGCTGAGGGGTTCCCATTGTGGTCACTGATGCTGAGGTCTTTGATCAGGCTGGTCACTGCACAGGTGGTTACCGCCTCTCGGTGCCACAGTGAGCTGTCCTGACACTTTTCAGGGAGGCATTCCCAGATGCTGGCACTCGGTTGGTCAATCTGAAGAGGGCATTTCCTATCCAGGTCTCGCCATCTGTGATTTTCTGATGCATAAATGACAAAGAAAAAACAGGTTTGAGAAGTCTTAACACCAACCCTCTGTTTCTATGTTTTCCACACAGCATTTTGGAGACAGAAAGGCCCTTAAAAACCATCCAGTTCAGCCTCATTTTACAAACGAGAAACTGAGGCTCAGAGAGTGAAACCAAGTCCCAATGTGCTGAGTTGGGAGCAGAGTGAGACACAGGATTCACACATACCCTTTGGATTCCTGGTATCGCTTTCCAGCATACCATATTGCCTCCCAGGAAAATGCAAAGAAATGTTTTCCACACAGAATTCTTTCTCATTTACAAATAGGCCACTCTGGCGGCAGAATCAGGGCAATTTATCCGCTAAGTCCCTACTCAGTTCTTGGTTGTTCTTGGGGTGGGATTTGATTCCCTGGCAGAAGGCCACAATCAAAGTGGAGCCTTCTGACACTTTAGATGGTCAAGGTCAAAATGGGGCTGGGGTACTGCCAGGTTAGTTTATCTGAATTCTACCTTTAAAGCATTTGTTGGAAACAGAAAATAGATCTTTTATTGATTTGTGTCCCCTCCACCAAATGCTTAACATCTACAACAGTGGCCAATTATAGCACTGTGTTTATTTGACTTCTTGCTGAAACTGAGGATATTTAAAGTAATTAAAATCTGTAAGAGCAAGTCTTGGGCTGCATAGACTTAAGGGTACAATTTGAACTTACATATTCATGTCTGTACTCAAATGTATGAATAAATAAGCTAACTCTGAATTGCTGAATTTGCACTTGAACTTTTATTTTAGTGAAACATTCAAGAATTATTTGTTGTTTTTCAATACAGAATCAGGCTTCATGCTGGGAATTCAAGGAGATGCAAAGATAAATTTGACATGGTTCTTGTATTCAAATTTACAAAAGCGAAGTTAAGAAACTTCTATGCTACCAGGAATCAACATGTTAGCATGTTCTATCTTCTAAACCCGCATATATTTATAAAATGGGCAAAAGTAAATAGCTTGAGTCAGGCAGTCAGCAGAAGTGAAACGAAATAAAGCTCACAGGGTATTTAAATGAACTTCAATCCTCTGGGCAGTGTGGCTCATCCACTAAGACTCCACCCTGGGCCACACAATCCACATAGCATCGTGCATGGAGGATCACCAAGGTCCAGAGGGGAAAACCAAGGCTTGGTGGAGGCTGAGTAACTGGCCCAGCATCACAGAGCTCACAGGATGCAAAACCAGGGTGTTTGACCCTAGGATCATGCTCTCTTCATCACGTTACAGTTCTGAGAAGAGCCACAGGTGAGCCTGACACCAGGTCTGTCCCAAGAAGCTTACAGGTAAGCCAAGGTATGCCACATAGGTTCAGAAAATTACGATTTACCCATACGAGAGGCGGGCCTCATGCAGCAAAACCACAAATTTAACTCCTTTACTTCTGATTCTACTCCTAATTCACAAAAGGAACCAAGAGACAAGATACTTCTCGACTGAATCTAGACCCCTATCTCTCGCACATACTAAACTAAAATCAGAATGGATCAAGATCTGAATGTTAAAACAGAAACATTTCACCTGCTGAAAAATAAAATAGGTAAAACTCTTGAAGTCATAGGTATAGGCAAGGAACAGAAGCCCGGGTACACTGGGGAGTCTTGGTTCTAGTACCAAGAATCAACTAATGAGACCATATCAAATTAAAAAGCTTCTGCACAGCAAAAGAAACAATCAACAGAATGAAGAGAACCTACAGAATGGGAAAAAATGTTGCCAGCTATTTCCAGACAGAGGACTCATATCTAGAATATATAAAGAACTCAAAAAGAAGTTAGCCCTCCCCAAAATAAAAAAAAAAATTAAAAAATGTGTAGATGAAATGCATAGTGACCTCTCAGAAGAAAAAGTACAAATGGCCAATAAATTCCTGAAGAAGTGTTCGACATGGCTGGTCATTAGAAAACAGGGATTTATTTCACTGTCTGAGTTATTTTACCTAGGATTATAGTCTCAAGGTACATCCATTTTCTTCCAAATGATTCAAGTTTACCCTTCTTTATGGCAGAGTAGTACTCCATTGTGTATAAATATATTTTTTGTATCGATTCATCTGTTGATAGGCACATGGGCTGTCTCCCAGATTTAGTTATTATAAACTGTACAACAGCACAATTCACATAGTTAAATCTTGGAAGTGACCTGTATGTCCATCAACAGATGAATAGACAAATAAATGTATTTACACACAGTAGAGTACTACTCTGCCATACAGGATAAACTTGAGTCATTTGCAGTAAAACAGATGATGTACCTTGAGACCATACAGTGTACAAGTTTAAATATCACATTTTCTCTTACATGAGAAACCCAAAATATAAATAAAGAGCAAGGCCAGGCGTGGTGGCGCACACCTGTAATCCCAGCACTTAGAAGGCTGAGGCAGGAGGATAGTTGTAAATTCGAGACCAACCTGGGCTACAAAGTGAGCTCAAGGCCAGCCTGAACTGCGTAGCAAGACCCTGTCTCAAAAAGACAATCAATCAATCAATAAATCAATAAACAGAGCAAAGTAAAAGCCAGATAATATCAAGTAGGCAGACAGATCTTTCTCCAGGGAGACAATTAAGAGATGGAGGGAGAGGAGGGTAGGGGATGAAGAAAGAATTAAGATGCATTAAGTACATGTACCGACTCCCCACAAGGAATATAATCATGATGAACTGCAAACATGTACCAATAAAATTTTTTTTTAAAAGAGACAAGATACTTCTCAAAAGGTGCTGACTTTGATGCCCTGGACTAAGCGTCACAACCAGCACCTACTGAGCTGGCTCAAGGGGGATAAACAATGCGGCGAAAGGGGAGGCCGGAGGAGAAGCCCAGTCAGAGTTGTGTGTGACGTTCCCTCCACTTGGGCACCCTGCCACAGCCATGTGACATAAAGCCTGAGAGGCCGGACCAGTGGGCAGGGGACATAAGGAGAAACCATACAGAGGCTGTAGCCACCGAGAGTCTCAGAAGCTGGGAATGCAGGAAAGAGATTTTCTGTAAGCCCAAGCGGGCCAGCTGAGAACAAAGCAGGACTAGTGAAATCCCCCGTTCACCTCATCCCAGAATCTTCCCAGGCCCTGACCACAGCCCTAGCCAAAGCAAGTCCAGACACCTGTTCCTTCAGTTGGATTAGACAAAATTACTTCCAAATACAAACATTACCAAAAAGTATACTTTTGCAAGTTGCATTTATGTTGTTCAAAGATGTCTTCACAACCCACAGAAAGCATTCCCTTCAAGTATTCATCATTCTTTTAAAACAGTTTCAATTTTATATTAGTCATCAGGTCGAAGTTCAGTGAACTAAAATAATACAGTAAAATTAGAAGAAATATAAACTAACACAGACTGAGTCATGACCAGCTTTGTTATGAAAAAGGAAGAAAGTTATCCCCAGAAACAAGTAGAGATTAATGGATGATGATGTCCATTAAAATAATGATGACAATAAAGTGATGATACTTAAGTAATGACACTTAAATGTCCTACAGTACAGGGCTGGATAAACACAGTATCACGGAATAACATGGAGTGTAAAGTAGCTCATCTCAAGGACCACGTAATGATGTGGGAAATGCTAGTGAGGTGATGCTATGCTAAAAGTCAGGATATAAAACTGTCTGATTCTTATTTACTAAAACATGTACTATGTTACATGTGAAGGTACAAAGGAAATAAACAAAAGTGGTAATAGTTGATTGGCAGACAGCTGCTTAATATAAATTTTCTTGTTTTTATTTTTCTATAGTCTCTAAATTTTCTATGAGAACAAAGGGATTAGCAAGGGTGTGAAGGCTGCATCCCCTAAGCCCCCGGTCTTATCTGACTTAATTCAGGAAGTCATCCAGGGCCAGGGCCTAGACCTTACCTTCCTTTGGGCTTTCAGGAAGTTGCTGGCCACTAACTTCCCTTTTAGGTCAAGGCACTGAGGAACCCTAAAGGCTAGGATTGTGGCAGACTGAGGAAGGAACCCAACCACAGTGCAGTGAGCCCCAACATGGTAGCATAGACTGGGTGCTTAGCTGCCTGGGGCACACAATGCAATGTGTCTCCACCAGGCCTCAAAAACACCATGAAATTTGAAGAGGTTGATCCCGTTCTCAGAGGATGCTACTTTCAGTTCCATTTTTGTTGCACTGGACTGGTGTTTCCCCACCTCTAGGAAATGAGAAGAAGCGGACTTGGGAGCCGGATAAACATGAACATGACTCTCATCTAGTAGTGCCACTCCATTCCCTTGGCCATCCTGTGATCTTGCCGCTAGACAAGACCCCTCAGGGGCCCTCTATTCCAGTCCCACCTCTTCACTGCCTCTGGAGAACTTTCTGAAGCCCCCACTTACTGTGGTCCAGCCCCCTGGCAGTTATCCATTGCTTCTTTTTTTTTTTTCTTTAGACAAGGTGTCTCTGTGTAGTCCAGGCTGGCCTTCAATTCACTATGGAGCCCATACTGGCCTCAAACTTACAGCAATCCTCCTGCCTCAGCTTCCTGAGTTCTGCAATTATAGGCATGCACCACCACATCCAGCTTAGTTATCTGTTGCCTCTTGAAAAAGATGCAAATGTTTTAGGCTGGCATCTAGGTCTGTCCATGTGTGGTTTCCCTAGCAGAACCTAATTCCAGGTACAAAACTTCTTACAACATTGGAGGTCAGACAAGAATCAAGTCAAAATCATCCTTGAAAATCTCTCATCAGCCTATAAGTTACAGCCCTCCTGGTTTTGTAGAGAAACCCTGACAAGTATTTTTATGTACAAGCAATTCCTTATAAAGCTACAGTTTAATCATGAGACTGTAGGAATGAACACCAGTAAAATCTAAATCCAGAGGGCTGGGAGTCCAATTCACTTGGCCTTGAAGCTAACTATCAAAACTCCCAAGGGGTACTGGGTTGAATGGTAAATTCTAACACGTCTTGCTGGCCTACAGGACTGACTGCAATCTGTTTATAGAGTCTGCTGATCTTAAA